CAAAACATCAGATTTCACAGCATCTGTCTTCTCACATCTTTTTGAGAATTACCTCTACTTCCTCCCAGGAACAGTGACCACGTGTCTTCCTCCTCTTTTCCTCCCTCTCCTTCACCATCTCTTCTGATGGACTGTGAGTAAGGCCCACTTCTCCTGGATTAAAAACCTAGCAACCACATTGACTGCAGCCTTGTGCTGCTGCTTTCCTGCTCCTTCTGAATTCACACATCTGGAAAGAGGGGTTTATTACATAGTCAGTAAACCATGTGGAGATCGGACAGGGAATGGAAATTAGGGTTCATCTTGGACGGGTCCAAGGGCCAACTTCATTTTGTATCATTTCACATTTAATAGAAGTGCCGAACCGGCGCCACCCAGGTTAGACTGTGATGGACCATACATGGAGAAATTGTGACATCCGGTGGCAAGACTGAGAATTGCATGCTAACGGTTACTAATTTTGAATAAATTACATTCATTTTGGCATTTCCTGCCATCAAAGCCTCAACAGTGCTTTTAATGCTGTAATTTTGTTGTCTGTAACTTAGATTTTTTTAATAACCACAAAAAAGCCACCATGAAGCATCATGTGCACCCAGCACCACACCAGTGCTGTCATTTGAGAGCTGCTAACAGGGCGCAGGACCATGTATATAATTAAGCTTAAAGCCAGACAGATGACATCTCGCCAGAGGTTCCATAGATCCTCGTGGATGGCAGGGGAAAAGTCACATTCAAGAAACCCAGTTCCGTCACAGGCTTTGGAGGACAGAAGGAAGACAGCAGAGACTCATCATCTGTTTAGCTTAACTTCTTTGCCTTCTCCCCCCAACTCCTGCCTTTCCACACCCTTCACCACTTTTTCAGCTCCTCACCTAGGTCTCCCATTTTCTTGTCCAGACCACTTCAGCTCCGCTCTGCTGCCTGCTCACCCTGTCTCTCCCTCCTTCCCCTGCACACTGGTTCTCTACCACCCCACTCTCCTACTAATTTTTCTTTGCTCAGCCAGCCAAGTTTCTCCTCTAAAACCACACTGTCACACCAAATCCATCTTCTCTTTGTCCAGCTACTCTTCTGCTCTCAACTAATCCCTAATCCCACCCTCCTTGTCTAAATTTTCCACTTCTCTTTGTCTGATTTCAGTTCAAACACATCAGCAAGTCATCGCAGCATAACAAGTCCATCAACAGAGTAGCAGGAATTCATCTTGCAGCAAATTACACCGTCTTATCTCAAGGTTAACGTGAGGTAAAATGCATTTGGCTCAGCCTCTTTCGCGGCAGCTAAACTAGAGCACTTTTCCTGCAGCTTTGCAACACGCTAAGCATTGGCACAGAGTCAGTCCTGTCAGTCCCTGCACAGTAACTCACTAAGGCGTGGACAGTTTACTCATACATCAGAGCACCTGGTGTCCCTGTAGAGCCAAGTGGCTATAAAACAAAACTCATCAGATGATAGACAGCACCGCAGCCCAGCTACAGTCTTGTTCTGGAAAAGCTATTACTGAAAGAAAAAAAAACAACCAACACCCTCAAACCCAAAAAATCATGCTACTGCCTGTAGCTCTCAGGAGAAAGCCCAGCAGTCAAGTTCTTTGAAAACTGTAGCTAAGAAACAGGAATCTATTTTGATTGCTTACAGTTTAGTTGCCTCCAGCTACCTTTCACCAGAGCAACAGGATGTGTCCTTGACGGGGACATACAGACCTACCAGACCAGCTTTGAGTCCCTTCTCCAAAGTGCTGGTCAGAGACAAGATTGCCCATTTAGCACCTGGGATCAAACATTTTCTCAGAGCTCTTTATGTTTTGGAATCTTTTTCTTTGGAAATGACTGATCTGCATTAAAAAAAACAAACAAAGACGACCAATTCAGACCAAACCTCACAGCTTTGCCATTGCAGTGTATTCCACAGCACACACCAGCGTGGCAGGGGCCCTGGCCAGGTCTCACTCCAGCTGCAGGTCCACAGGAATATGAAGACTTCAGGCAAAGAACATTCAAGATAGTAACAATCAACGCATCTGTCAATGCTTGTAACGCTGTTCACTGTCCACATCTGTAATTCACCGAGATTTCTCAGGAATGTTAGTTAAAAATAAGCCAATATTTCACACACACACACCTCCTAATCTAAACTAAGCAAGCTCCATGAACCTGAACCTTGAGCTTTTTAGCTCAGCCACATATACCTGTCACCTCCTGTGAGCAAGTACTAGTCCTCAGGCAGCTATGCAGTGACCTGAAAACTTTCACCTTTTATTTTCTGACAGGTTGGTTTTCAGCCACATCAGGCTCCTGAGATGGTTCCCCACATAGTCTTTCAGCTGCCAACACCAACAGATCAGACACAGTGGGACCAGGGAGCTCCTGGTGAACAAAGAAGGTGGCAACATCTTACATTTAGTCCAATTTAATGCGGTTAAAGTTAATGGTGGAACTGCACCTTTTTCATCTTCCACAACTCCAGAGAATACTCATCTGTTAGGCTATGACCTGGCATTCTGTTGTACTCTGTCAAGAACTCGTGTAATTGTTCCTTCTGTAGGTTTCCATCTGGTTCCTTTCCTCATCAGAAAAACAGAAGACCAAGCCACCTGTATCCAGTCATCTCTTAAAACCTTAAAGTAGAAAAATGTGAGAGGGTGGAGCCAATGAAAAATCATTTTTTGGCCAACATAGAGTTTACACACCTCATTACCCCAAGGCAGATGTCTAGCATGGAAGAATTTCAGCATGGAAATTAGGGAGCTCTACTGAAATGAGATACAAAAAAGGAAACTTGAACTTCATCATGAGAAACGCTGGGCAACTCTATTAAAAAGTTCTTTTCACTGCCCCTGTCAATAATAAGGTATCACATTGTAAAACTCTTTAGTGAAATGAGGGCCTTTGCAGCCTGCTGGATATCTTTAGGGTATGGATCTGTGGAACGTAGTATCCTAAAGATGTCAGTCAGCAACAAAGCTGTGACAGCATTTCTTATTTGAGACCCACATCCGAGTCTTCAGTTGACCCATTTTGATCAACTGCCCTAAGAAAGAAGTCGTTGCTTCAAACAAGTGATGGGCCTTTAAGAACATAAAGCAGTATTCAAAGGTGAATTAAATGTCTACATGTAAATTGGTAGAGCCAAAGAACTTGGAACCATAGTCCTAACATTGCCCTCCTGTGATGAAGCACTGAGGGGCCAACATTTTGTCAGACATGGCAAGCTGTAATTCTTTGGTATACAAAGTTTTATACACAAAATAACTAACACAAGGACCCGCTTCACGATTACAGGCAGAGGGCCCATTTGCAGTTCCGTTGCTGTCTATGTTCTGTTCCAAAAGTCTCGGCAGCATTGCCTCCAAATCTCCTTGACAAAAGCATCAGCCCTTCCTGTTTAACAGCATGAAGAAGCTTCCAACTTTGCTCCCCGCAGAAGACGATGGCCGCCTCCTTGCAAGAGCAGCACTGTTTTGCAAAGCATAACGTTTATTTGTAACGCTTTGTGTGGGTCTCTCCAGATGTTTCACAAATGCCAAAATACCTGCACCCCCTCTGGGAGGTAGACACCAAGCCTGTTTTCGCTGCTTTATGGCAGCAGAAGCCCTAAGCAGTAACAAGCAAAGCCAGGAATAAGAATGCCCCGGCTTGAACCCAGTCCCTAAGTGTAATCGCTAAACTAGTTTTCTTAAGCACCAAGTGAGGGCCCAAGGGAACTGGACAGC